AAAAAAAAAATTTCAATAACGTATTGCCTAAAGGGTTAAGTAAGTGAAGTGAAGGAATGAAGTAACAAGAGAGAGATTATATGTTGCCAAAGTGTGCTTCCTTTGCATTATTCTTCTTATTCTTCTTCCCATTTTTCTTCCTCCAACGAAACCGAAAACGATCGATTTTTTTTTTCTACTTTCGATTCTGCAGTGCAAAGGTGCAAGGAATAGAAAAAAAAGGATTTCATTTCTGTTCTGTATAAAATGATGTTTTATGGTCGATCGTGTTTCATTGTACAAATTAAAAGCATAATAAATGAAATCGAATCTTATTATTTTTTTACTTCTGAAAATTCTTCTTTTTAACGTTTGATGATTTTACAATTTTTATTTATGATTTGTTAGAAAAGGAAGTGCGTTAATGCGTAGGTAAAAAAAATTATTGGATAATTTTCATCTCCTTCTACCTCAAAGAATATTTTAGCTTGATGATGCAATACGAATTTTTTTAATGCGTTCATTTTGGGGATTGTTAAATCTTTAAATATGGCATATGGCATGAACTGGATTATTAATCATTGTGTTAGAGCTTGTTGTGAGCTGAAGTGGATATTCGTCTAGGACATCGAATAATTTAATATCAATTTAATGATGATAGTTAATTGTTTTGAATAACATCAACTAGAAATGCAGCTCACAGTTTCTTTTGCAGTCAAGTTTAAATTTGGACGTGATAGTCTTGAACAGTCCAAATCTCTAGTACTAGAACAAAAATAAGTCTTGTTAATCTCCAGGAGTGGGGGATGGTTCTTACTTCTGTGTTCAGAAATCAAAACGTTCTCGTTAAATTTCAAAATTTGAATTTCTAAACGCACGCTATAAAAATATCTTATATTCTCATTTTATCAATTAATCCACGGGCTAAACTGGCTCCAGAAAAGTAAATCATAATGACCGAATCTTGATCATGCTTTTAATCATATCTAGACGAAGATTTTGAACTAATTAAGGCAACTTTCAATTTTACAAATTCAATGTTTATTTTTGGAGAAAGTTTGATAGTGTTAGTGTGAGTTCAAATTTAACGGCAAGATTCATATTCGCCATGACTGGATTAATCTAATTTGACTTTGTTTTCATAACAGACAATGAGCTAACATTGTGATTTTGTATAGAGTCGATTTAACTCAATATGAATTGACTTACTTCAAGCTCTTGATTTACATAAACTTCTTGTAACCAAGTTTGGTTTTAAAAATGCGTCTAGAACTCATATTAAACTAAATTCATAATTCTACCTGCTTTAAAGATAAAATTTCAAGAAGCTACGGCTTAAAGAACCAATTCATATTGATCGATCAGTGAATGAATATTTGATTGAAATGTTCAGCTATGAATAGATTTTTTTTCTTCATTTCATGATCTCTAAAAATCCCAAATGTGTGCACTATTAAACAGTCCATTAATTTTATATATCTATACTATAGATATCGATAGAATTTTTGCTTTTTTCGCAAACAAAGGATGATCCGATCAATAAATTGTCTCCACACTTCACGACACTTTTGTTCTTTAATAACTTTAATTTCTTTCATGAGAAGTGAGAGATCACATTGACATTAAAAATGATTCAATTGTTGTCCATTCACATTTCATTGTATTACTGAAAATGTGTGCATTGATTCCATCTCTTTTCTCTTTCGTTCGCTAGAGTTTGTAAAAGCATTAAGCAGAAACAAAAAAAATCATAAAAGAGAGCACAAAAATTGTTATTGTAGGTGGCAAAAATGAGAATTGTGAGACAATAAAAACCAATAAGTATCGTAAAGCAGTCAACCGGAGCATTCAAAAGCCAATTTTTCTATAAAAACTTTTATTTTTCAGAATCAAATGGCACATACATTGTTTTCATATTATGGCACAACTGCAGATGTTTTTTTTTTCTCGATTTTTCAAAAATCATCATCGCTGACTAAATTTGTTGTTATGATAGGAAGAGGTTCACAATTAACATCCAATAGAAATCAGCATCGTCATATTAGATCAGTTAAAAAGGTAGCTGCGTAACGTACCTTCATGCTTAGTTCTTTTTTTGCACGCGTACACACAAAAAGTTAAATTAGACAAAAAGTAGAATTTTAAAATGGATAAAAAATTGATGAATAGTTTTTTTTAAAGTTGGGGTTGTAATAGCTTACCTTCATATATTTATGCTTATATGCCAACCCTTACCGTCATTTAATCATATTTCACAGGCATTGTCAGACTATTTGAACAATATGAATGCACACACATGCATGGATGTATACATTAATAATGCTGAAGAAACAGAAACACGCATTTTAAAATATTTTTGTTGATGTGCTGCTCACGAGACAAATTCTCTTGTGTTCCTTTAATAATTTATTTACTTTGAGGGTTCTCGAAGGATTAAATTGAAAAAATAAAATCTCAATTCAATTTGGGACACATTTTTTTGGCGCGAGACACAACAACTGTTTGTGGAAATTTTCTCACATTTTCTTATTCATGAGTCGATGATTTACTCGGATTTTCACGCTCGTCCCCCAAATTTGATTTTTCCAATCTCCGTTCACACTCCTTTAAAATTCCGGCATCATGTTTGCTTTACGGCGCATAAAAAATAAACCTCTTTTTTATATTTCTCCTTCAATCCAACCCCTTTCGGATATGTGCATATACGGTAAAGCATAAAAAGAAAGGGAACAAAAGGGTTTATGTAAAACATGACGCAATTTCTTCGAATCACAGTCGTTCCCTTCAATTTGATTTACATAACATAAAAAATTTAAATTCTGTGATTCGTTGTTTTGTTGAAATGCTAATCGGTGTATAAATGGAGAACTTTATGCTGTTGCTTTTGGAAAAATGTTGTTCGCTTCATGCACTGGGAGTTGTTTTTTTTTTTGAATAAATTTCACTGTTTTTGATTAAAAATGGTCGTTTAAAGAATGTTTATTTTAATTTAATTAAGGCAAGTTAAACATTTTTTGGGGAATGATTGTTTAAGGCGCATTTTATGATAAAACATGTGAGGTTGATTGCTTATGATCTCAGACCCTTAACACTCTTAAATGAGACACTGCTATGGTGTTTTTAAATTAAACATTACACTTCAAGATAATTAAATAAATGGCGTAAGGGGGGTTCACTTATGACGTCCGAGGGGGTCAGCGAAAAAAACAATAGAAATTCCTGGAAATCCATTGTTCTTTTTTTAAAAATGACCGTTAAATTTGGACGTCATAAGTGAACGACTCCTAAATCTATATAGCTAATTCCATCTACACCAGTGATGGTCAACCCGTGTACCGTGAAAATTTTTGAGATATCCTACGAACCGTAGTTTGTTTGTGGTTTTGGTCCTAGCTTACCAACAAGTGTGTCGTGGCATAAAAAAGGTTAGACACCACTGAACTACACACATTACGGCCTTAAGCTACACAACACATTATAAAATGCTGATTAATTTGCTGTCCAAAATGCATACAAAAACGTGTCAAAAAATCAACATAATTTTGAATGGAACCGCTCTAGTCATTCACAAATTTAGTTAATACAACAAAATAATGGCAATACTTGTCCATATAAACTATTTCTATAGAAATAAATCTCTCTTTTATTTGTCTGCATAGAGCATAAATTTAAGAAAATGAGAAGCATAAAACATACGTGCTAGAAATGTATTGATTTGAATAACAAAGGGCATTAAAATTTTTTTTTCTGCTATATACATATTTATGCGCATGCTTTTGTCGAAAAAAAAATAGCAGAAAGAAATAATATAACAGAACTGTAAAAACGGCGATACAAGTTGTGCATAATGGTAGTAGCATATAACTTTATAGGCTAATGACAACGACTAGGTAAATTGCCATTTTTTCCACCTTTTATCGATATATAACCCGAGATTTTATGACATATGATATATGAGCGAAACTACACAAAATACGTCGTTTATGATTATTATTTATTTGCAAGCGCACAAGACACACGAGTTATACACGAAATGAGAAGGAAAGAAACAAAAAAAAATTATTCTATATGATTTGCTTTTAGCATAGTCATTAAATGGGACATAAACAGAAATCGAAGAAGAAATGAAATGTAAAGAATGAAGAACGAAGTAAAAAGGCACAGAAAGAACCACGGTAGAGAAGAAAGACATACACAGTGAGTATGTCGAATAAACAGTCTAAACAAAAGAAACAGAAGCAATCGAAAGATGCCATAATAATGGTCGATAAGCTCATAAAACATGAATAATATGCTTGGGCCAGCAGCAGTAGTAACAGTCAGTCGTCATAACAGAGAAGTAGGAGAGAGAGAAAAATAAAAAAGTATGTAGAAGAGAAATAAAAACTATCGTTTCTGAAGAAATGAAATACAACAACTATACGAATTCGATTGCAATAAAAACTTGTACTGTATACTTATAGATACATAGTGTGTACATATGGCTCATGAGAAAGCATATCAGACGACTATAACGTATAACATTACCGTTTCTCTAATACTTTTTTCTGTTCATGAAATTCTTTCTTTCCTTCTTATTGCCTCGACTGACTCTCGATCGATGGTATGAGGAGAGAATTGCAAGCAAAATTGGACGAGATGTGTCATTGACCATTGTTTTTGGCCCACCACCGCCGCATCACTTACAAAACTATAACGTCTCACTCTCATCAAAGCATACATGCTCTAGAATTTCGGAGATTTATTTTTTGGCATTCGTATGTGTGAAAATAAAGATGTATGGGAGTCTTGATGAGGGTGGACAGTGTAACTGACTCATACATATATTAAGTAAACCCCCTAATTAGGAACTTTTTTTTCTTCTCTTTTCTCTTCCGACTCGAATTTTCCTCCTTCACAATAATCGCATGTATAATAATAAAGATTTTTCGTACTTCATCTCACTCACATTTTTATTTCTCTTTTCTTCTTTCTTCTCATCACATTCGCACATTCGGTGAATGTACGCTTTGTATTTGCAGACAAACATTACAATGAAATGAAAACACATCAGCTTCCGGTGATGCAATTACAATCATTTAACTATCCAAAGAATGTTTCAACGCTCCCAAGTCCATCTTTGACAACGTCGTCGCTAATTAATAATAATAGCCTGTTGACATTTCAAGACATTCAAGACATAATGATGCACCATCATCAGCAGCAGCATCAACATCAACAACACCAATATCAATACAATGAGCGGCAAGTGAAAAGAGAAATTCTCAATGAAAATTTACAAACCATATCAAAAGCATCATCATCATCATCATCATCATCGTCATCTCCATCACCAAATACATCAACAAAATTGTCACCAAAGCACAGCACTGTAATGGAGAAAAATGCAAAAGTGCATCCATTGTCCGTCATTAAAACTGAAGCATGTGAAAATGGCAGTAAAATTAGTATTAATCATTCTATACAAAATAAGGCTGATACTCATCACAATAGCAATAGCTGTGGACGTACTGTACGTGAGGAACTTGAAGCAAGTCGATCTAAAATTCCTAAGCTTGGTGAGTATGGGAACATTTATGTGGTGAGAATTTTTATGAGAACTAGGTTGGAGGAATGATCTGGAATGTTTTTAAAGCTATTCTGAGTCCTGATTGGAACAGATTGAGGTACACAGCACATTTCTTGAAGATATATTCTAGCTAGACTATTAATCCTGAGTATTAATGAAGCATATAATCATCCAGAATATCTCGTTAGGTGCATAACTCACATGGCATGAATTTTGGCATGAAACACACAAAAAAATATTGCACTGTATTCAAAAAAATCAATTTTTGACCCTCATTTGTTGTAAATAATCAGACAATATAATAATGAGCCTAATAATATCCACATGACACTGAAACCAATTTTTTATGATGGACAGTTGTAACGGATAGTTAAAAAATATCCCTCAAATTATTTATTTATTATTTGTTGAAAGGAAAAAAGACCTGTAAAATCAGCAAGACCTGCACATACCAGAAAATTGAATAAAGCAGCAAAAATATTATTTTTTTACGAAACTCTCCCCTGTTTATAAATTCCATATGGATTGTTTGTTTGACCCTCAGTCTTATTCAAATCAATTGACCTTTCTCTACGTTCTCTATGACTATGTCTATGTCTATTTCACATAATTTGATTTTTAAATTTTTTTTCTCTCTGCCTTTTGCAATTTACTGTTCATATAAGGTACATTAATTTTGCCATAATTTTAGAATATTTTATGAAATTCACAAGTGGTGACATTCAATGAATTTTTCAGTCGGAAACCACAATTAGGGTATAATTTATGCATCAAATTATTCAATTTAATTTCATTCTTATTTCACGGCATGAAATCGGTTTGCATTGTAAATAATTTAATTTGATTTCTTTTTCGTGATAATTTTGTATGAATTGGATAATTGCCAGGTAGGAGGATGAAGTTTGCAAGCGTTTGGTGATCTTTATGAAATTTGAGAATTATCATGAGCGTCTTTCGGTTATTGCTGTTGGTTTTGTAAAGGAATAAAGGAGTTTAGGTTTTTTCCAGGCTCGGACACAAGACTTTCCCCGATCGGCATACATTGAAATGATTGCCACTCAGCAGCTGGGTTGATAGGATAATTAGAACCAAATTGCCCTGTGCCTCCCTTTGACATTGCCCGGCTGCAATGAATTTCAATGTGTTCTGATCTGGTACCTACTCAAATGCCACTAAGATATCATTAAATTTTGGGTTTTTCTTTACAAAACTTTTAAAAACAAGAGGAATTCATTTAGCTGTTGCTTCTCCCTATATCTTGTTTTAGGCCAACACAGGACATCGGTACCCCATTTTTCGAAATCGAAAAACTTGTGTTCGAAAATGATTTGTTTACATTTTAAATTGAAATTTTATTTCACTTATTTTGACTTTATTACATGAGTTTTAGCTTTTTAAATAGTTTTGATGCATTGCTAGACGTCAAATAATACTTTTAAAGTCATATTGAAGTATCAAAAAGCATTGATTAAAGAAAAATTTGTAATCTTATATTTAAAACACAATTTTTTTTTTCTGAACACACTCGCAAAATTTTTCAGGAAATTTTAAATTTCTGAAAAAATAACGGAAATTTTTCTCGTTGTATTTTAAGTAATTTTCAAAATATAAACCTTATTCAATCTCAGAAGTTATTTTAGACAAACTGAGTTACTGCAAGTCATATTTTAAGCATAAAAAATACAATTCTAAGGATAATTTTTTAACATGACCATAAACAGCAAAAAAATGTTGTAGGGGTTGTAAAAAAAGCAAAAGTTATTATTGACATGCGAAATGTTTTGCGAGGCATGTTATTTCGGTTGAAAAGGCCACTGAAGGATATTTTTTTAAAAGAACATTTTCTTGGAAGATTGATTTTACTTTCCTTAAGGGGTTATTAAATTTTACAACATAGAATAGCTCTGCTACTGGTCGGAGAATATGCAAAGATAAGTAAATACACTCGCATCTGATTATTTCCAATGAATCGATTGAATCTCGGCATTTAATAAAAGAGTAAGGTATTCTTTCAACTGTCATTAATGGAAGTTCGTTAAAAATATTCAATGATCTGACATATTGTCAGGTAATTTAGTAACGAATGGTTCTGCACAACTTTAATTTCTGTGTTGAAAAAAAATACCTGAAAAAAAATTGAAGTAGAAAAAAATAGGAAGACAAAGAAGAAGGGAAGCATAAATTGCGTGTTTGATAGATTCCAAAGAAAAAAAAATCATCATCATCATCGTTAAAATCATCCCTTACAAAGATTTCTATTGCTATAAGAATGCAATATTTTTAATACCAAAAAAAAAAAAATAAATGCAGGTCTAAGAAAATATTTCACAAAAATAAAAAGAAATAAATTCATATAAAAAAAATTGAGTAAGGTTTGCGAATGCACTGAGTGAACAAATTCTATTGCACGACGTCATGTTGTGTGAATGGAACTGAAGATAAAAAATTTTCTTCTCCGTGTAATTTCGACACACATTCACATTAGTTTACACATTTTTTATATTTACCTATTTTTTTACATAAAAAAAAATTCAATAAATTTTTTAAAGGAAAAAAAATGAGGGTAAATTGTGTAAGGGATGCATTTCCTATAGATTTTTATGCATTTATTGAAATCTCAACGGATCTTTTACAATTTTTTCTCACGATTTTCTATACCTACCAATCTATACATTAAAAAAATTGCATTTTTTTGGGTAATTTTTTTTTATAAAGAAAAATAAAAAAATTGTTCAAGTGAAGTTGCATAAAAAAAAGGTAAAAAACCTTAAAAATTTTAATACAGATGATTGATTTATGAAAGGATTTCTATTCAAAAAAAAAATGCAGAGATTAATTTTCGTAATTTTTAATGACAAAAAAGAGGTAAAAATTCGATTGAATGAATTTTTTATACACAAAAAAAAATTTGGGTCAGATGAAGAAATGAAATGGATTAGAACTAGAACAGAATTAATATGGTATGGAGTTTTGATTTGATGATCATGGATTAGACGCATTAACTGAACATAAATTCAGGAATTTTTGTTTTTTTGAAAACTATTGAAATTTCGATTTTAATTCAAATTATTAAGCATGATGGAGGCAGGAGTGAGGTTAAGTTTTGTAAGGCAGAATTAAGGCATTTTTTATCAATCATTTATAATGTTCAAAATAAAAGCCATTCCTTTCTTTGGAAATCATAAAACAATACACATTTATCTATAGGTTCCAAGCAGTTTAAGACCTTTCCCAGCTACCACAAATTCTGGCTACACAACTATTTATTCAAGAACCCAATTTAAGATTCAGTTGATTTCATCTTGTAGACGTCATTTATAAACAACTCATTAATGTGAATTTTAAAAATCCGAAGAAAAAAAATTATTAATTTCAAAAATAAAAGTCAAAAGTTTTCTCATAGCCAAAATTTAAATAAATGCATCAATAATCATCCTTCATTCCAATGTCACCAACGAACATTGACCTTAGAAATAAAAGAGGGACAAACACACACAAATTATCTATGAAGATGTATATTGAAAGCTAAGGGAGATTTTTTTAGATAATTTTGCATATAGAAAATTTAAAGGGCCTTTGAAATTATTTGCATATTGAATTAGGGATGCTAGAAATGTAGATTTTATAGTTGTATGATTTTTTGGAAGAATAATTCTTAAAGATGAAGAAATTTAAAGTCATGTGGTGATAAATGGCTGATTGATTTCTGTTATATATCAAATTTTGGATTGTTTCTAGTACAACGAGTCTTTTTTTTTTCAAATAAAAGCTTTTAAGCCTTTATTGATAATATTGAAAAATAAAAAAAAACAGCTATGAATTAAGTTCAAATGAGAAAAATTTATCCAAACCACATAACGAGATAAATAAATTAAAAATCTAATGTTTTCTTTTCTTTTTAAAAATTATTTGCTCAGATTAAGACCATTCAAATGCTCAGTTTTGAATTTTGTTGCTCAGTTTGATATTTTTTACATTCATTCCAAAATATTCGTTTCTAATTGCTGAAAATGATTTTCTACAACTAGAGACACTTTGCATTTGGGGTCGTTCACTTATGACGTCCGAAATTAACGGTCATTTATATCAAAAAAGAACAATGAATTTCCAGGAATTTATTTTGTTTATTTTTGACCCCCCCCCCTCTGGACGTCACAAGTGAATGGCTCCTTAACACAATCAGATACCAATCATTCTATTAACCCAGGCAAAGAGCAAAAAATACCTACACATCACAATTTTCTCCAGAAATGAGGTAAAATAAATGTCGAAGAAGAAATTTGATCTGTAAAGGATATATCCATAAATATGTATGTCGAGTATGCAATTCAATCGATAATCCAAATAGAAATTCTATAACATATTAATATGGAATCGGCAGCAGAAGCATTTATTTCGTATTATTATAAATGTATGTATGGATATATCGTAACGGATGTAATTTTTGGTAATTTTATGAATATTCATCAAGAGAAATAGCTTTGTCAGTAGAAAAAAAATATGAAAATATTTAACACATCGTCAATGGTAATATCATCATCATCATAGCAATAATATTATAGCTGCTCTCTCCAAAAAAAAATTCTTCTCATTTATTTCTGTTCACAATAATCATTTTCATGAAATCTCTGACAAAGAAAAAGCAAATAATAATGTGCAAAAGAAAATTCTATTTGGAGCGGTGCTTCGTGTCTCGAGACACACTAAGACACGAAAGTTTTGTCGCTGCTGATACTGCCACTGTTTTGTATACATTGTTCCTTCCAGTACATAATCTTTATTTTTTTTTTCAATATTATAGCGAGGAACAAAAAGAAAAATAATGAAAGGAAATTATTTTGATTAAATACGTTTGAAGCATAATAATGGAGCAATGGTAAAATATTTTTCATAACATCTCGTGTCTCTCTCTCTTTCTCTGCACAAGAAGATGTATGGGACGAGATGTGAAATGATATTTTTTATATGAAAATTTTATGATATAAATTTATGCTTAAAACAAAGCAAGACAAAAAAAAGCTCTCAGCAGAGCTAACTGATGCTATGCATAGTGTAAAACCAAAACCCCGCCTTTTTACATACATACATTATTATTATTGTTATTTTTTTATGTATTAAATTTTTTTTTCACTTTTTTATTTTTTCATATTCCGCTTCAGATTTTTTTAGCTTTTCAGTGTAAAAAAATATAGACTGTGAATATATGCGGAGTATAACACATGCATCCCTACTCCCATTCTCTCATATCCGAATTCTCCGCACTCAATACAATCACAAACGCATGCCATGAAGGGGAAATTTTCTCTGTGCTCGTGTTTTTGAGAGCTTTTTATTTCTTCTTACATCTACGCTCTCACCACCTTAGGCACACTGCTTAGAAAAAAAAAATATATACACAATTTTATACTTCTCTATATTTATATTTTTTGGGGTTTAGTCATTCTGCATATTTGAAACGTTATAGTCGCAAGTAGTTATGCGGTTGCTTAGAATATTTTGAATATCTTTCATCAAATTTGGATGATTAAATTTGAATAATTTGAATATAATTTGCAAGTTTAGTGAATTTTGAACATTTTGACAAAAAAAAATTTGGAAATTAAGGATTTTTTTATGAGAAATGAGAAATTAAAGTGATTTAAAAATAATTACCAAAAAAAAAAGACAAAGAACTTATAAAAAAAAAATAAAATAAAAGTGTAATGTTATTGCTACCATCAAATATGGTTTTCTCAAAAGTTCGATCGTGGAATGATGTGAGCGAGTGCGAGACGAATAATAACAACAATAATAATTCAGTAAAAAGTGACATTCTTTGTACACCACCGAGATGTATGTTCTCATTGTTTTTTTCACATTTAATTTACTTTCCAATTCCACTCGTTTGTGATGCCTAAAAGGGATCTGTTTGGCGTCAGCAATCTGCAAATATGCATCGACATCTGATTTCCATGAAATTTTTTTTTCTTCGTCTCTCTCATTGCCCCACACACACCTTTTATCTTCTTCTTTTTTTTTAAACAAATGGTTTTTTTTTTCTGTAACATTTCAAAAAAAAAAAATATCATTTCATCCCTTAAAATTTATTTCACAAAATACCTTTGTTACCTTCTTTTACGAGCGATATGTGTGTAGGATGCCATGCATATATGTTGCATTGTGAAACTTGAAGGAAAGAAGAAGAGAAAATGCCAAATCATTAATGTTATTTAGAGATGCATAATTTATGGATATTTCTATTATTTTTTCCTTAAATAGAAAATTTTTGTAAAGGCAGGAACGACTTCTAAATGAATTATACGCATTTAAATGACAATTGGTCAAAAGAACATATTTTCCTTATAATTATTTCCTTTACAAGACACAACACCTTTAATTTCACATCTAATCAGTTGCACATTCTGTGTCCACATTCTTATGATGATTACAATTTTTTATCGTTAAGGCATAAAAAGAAATGTTTTACGCATTTCAAAAGGCTATATCCGTAAGTGCATTAAAGATTAAAACGACATCAGATGGTCAAATGTATTCATCGGTTCAGTCAAACATTTATATATTCGGACATGTGAATAAGGCATAAAGGAATATTTACATAAACAAATATGTACTCTTTTATTTTCTCTTCGGCTTTTTTTGGGTTGAAATTAAATTTTGGCTCTTGAATATCCAATGATGCGTACGAGGGACGTTTTTATGTTGATTCCTATGTGGGCAATGAAAATATTTTTTTGCGCATTTTTTTTGTGCTTGGCAAAAAGGAGAAATACTTTGAATTGTGATTTCTTGACCGACTGTCGGAAGGTCTTTTACAAAATTATTTGAATTTAAAATGTCCGTTATTTCTTAAATTCAAAATACTTTGAGTTTTATTAACTTGAAAATGATCCTTAAAGCTACATTCATAATTCTAGAAATGCGCTAAAGTCAAATTCAGCACAAGCATTCCAAACCAGTTCCCACCATCCTTACATTTGCAAAATAAATAAATTATGAATCGAATGAAAAACATTTTGAATAATGCGAATTTATTTCTTTTATACTTGCAGATATTCCATTAAAGAGGTCCTCAAAGTCACCGTCACCAAGTCGTTCAAATGGTAAGTTACAAAAACGCAAATAAAAGAGTCATAATAAGAGTAAACAAGAGTGAGAAGAAGAAATTTAATCCATTAACATGAAGCAGCTCCCTTACATGCTGTATATATTTCCCATAAATCTTCCATACATCGTGGAACTTAATAAAATTGAGAGTATTAAAAAAGAAAGAAACAACACCTCAGTTTCTATTGAAAACATTAAGAAACTTAATTCCCTTTTAACATAACAATCAAACATCCATAAATCGAATATTTATTAAGGCACATACAAGCAGCACCCGAAAAAAAATGAGGAACAAAATACACAATATAACTTTGGAGTGTTCATACACGAGACTAGCACACTTCCTTGTCGTTAAATACAATATTCTTTAAAAAGAAATAAAAAACTTTATAAATAGCTTCCTTAAAGAACCCCGTAACCCTTTTTTATTCTTTTAAAATGATCATGCATGATGATGTAAAAAGAAGGCATCAATATTGTAACCCCAAAAAAAAGGTAAAGAGGTTGTAAATGTGATGAAATCTCTTCAATCCTTAAAACTTTTCTTCAAATAAAATTTAAAATTAAGGTTTTTCCATTTCATTTATTAAAAATTTATCATCCTGGTCTGAAATTGAGATCTTTCCCTTTTCATTCGTGTGTCATCTTTAAGGAGATAATAGAAATAAGAGAATAGGTTAAGAAAAAGGGGGTTAGATCATAATCAGCTCAACATATTTAAACACAATAAACAAGTATTCTTGTGTCTTTAAATTACCTTAAAAAGTAATAAGATTATAAACTTAAGGGATTACTTTTGTTCCTCTTTTTGAAGAGTTAGGTGTCTTAGGGATGGAGGAATTTGAGTTGTTGGATGCATGCTTATTAACAGATATGATTAAACTTCGTGCCACGATACTCAGAATTAAATATTGGTGTGCTTCATAAAAATTGAGAATTGTAGCTTAGAGTGACGTCAAAAAAAGGTTGAGCACCACTGATCCTAAGAATTTCGTAGATCAGTGTTGTCCTGAACAAACCTTGCCATGACTGAAGTCGCACGCAGCATGAGGCTCGTTTAATTTTCAAAAAATTTCTAACGCACACTAGTGTGCCGCGGCACGCAGTTTAGACAACACTGTTGTAGAGCCTAATTCAACTCTAATTTTGCCAAATTTTGTTAAAATCTTGAATTTGAGATAACCTTCAAATCCCGAATTTCACAACCTCATAGAAAAATAATATCAATATTTTTTAAAACCCCAAAAAAATCCTTCTTTAAAGCTACAAAAAAAAATAATTTATGAATATTCATCCACACACCAAAAATCGATGCCCAATATACATATTCCTCAGCCGAGTAACGAGAGAAAGGAGAAGGAAAAATCAAAACATATGATGCACAAAATGAATTTAAAGACGTGAGGTGCATAAATAATGGAAGCATGAACATGTTCGGCCAGAAATGATTTTTCGGACAAATTTTCTTCATTCTTTTCTACGCTTTAATGAGCAGCAAAAAGGGTTCGAAATTTAAATTTTTTTCTTTATGCTCTTTAAATACGTGATCATATTCATATCCAATGCCTTTTTCTTCAAGACATTTTTGACAAGGTATGAATGTAAGAATAATTTTGCAATTATCACGAAATAAAAGTCAATAATAGCAATAATTATAGAGTGCAGCTATTGACTGAACATGCTCATTGATAAAGTCTTCAAATTGCAGTCCTATGAGACTGTATTGAGCACCAATTGTTATTAATTTGAAAGAAAATGAAATACAATTTGTAGCGATTGATTGATTTTGACATAGAAAGTTACGTTTAATCATCGATAAATTGTGAAATGAAAGAAAATTGAGTAAGAAGGGGTGAAATGTTGTTCCTTTCACACGTTTATTACATTTAAATTGATGGATTACCTTCTGGAAAATGTTTATAAGACTTCATTTTACACCCAGCAGTGCAATTCTTCAAGTGCTGCATGAAAAGTCATTATTATTTTGACTTTTCTTGTTATTTGAAATAAATTACATAAGAATTCAGTAAATCCATTGTTGAGATGCCTGCGTGTGCTAATAATCCTCCATTTTATACTTTAAATAAAAATTTCATGGCATTTTAGAATCTCTAATTTTCATCAACTAGCGGCTTTCTACCCCTTCAAAAATTTCATTTTTTTAAAAAAACACAAAATCCTATCTGTAGCTACCCTCACGACAGTTGGATTTGAGCATGATTATCGAGGGTTGTTGTTTTTGTTCTCTTAAAAAGTTAAAAATGACGCGACTATTCTGTTTGATTCTGATGCAACATGAATGATTAAAGAGATTTTATATTCCGAAAAAAAAAATAAGTTGGAAAATTGATGATGATTGGATGGTTATGGCGTATCATTCTGTTGAATTTGAAGCTAATGATTTAATTCTTTTGAGAAATGAATCGTTCGGGTTTTGATACTTTAACATGTGAGGTTTAAAATGAGCACAAAAATCTTAGTAAAGAGAATTTTTTGTGGTGTATGAACCAAACTTATCTCAATTTAGTGAAGAACAGCTCTTGTCAACATTTTGATACTTATTTTTGCAAAATTTTGTTTCCATTTATTTAATTTAAAGTGATTTATGAACTTTTATGCTACGACCCGTGCCGTAAGTCACCAAAAGACTTGTCGTAACTACCCTTTTATGCCAGTTGTGGCAAATATCAATCTTGCCGTTAAATTTGAAAAAAAATTTGCACACTAACACTATCATACATTTTTCAAAAATATGATTGATAAATATCAGCTTAATTACAGCTGGTTCTTTGTTCAGAATATGATTACTGGCTTTATTGTGCTTTTGTCATTATACTTGAGTGTATTCGTCTAAGTTTAGGTCATTAATTTGTTGATAAATGTCAATTTTTCTTTTAAATGTTTTATTGCGTGCGTTCAGAAATAAAAGTTTTGACCAGTTTTGACATTTAACTTGAAAATAAGGTCTCTTTTGACTTCTGAACACAAAATAAGGACTGTTCGCCACCCCTGGCTTCTATGCCATTAAAGGGGTCTAAAACTATCATTTATAGATCTAAAAACCTAGTTTTTCAATAAAAAATGCTCACAAATATTTAAGTTAAAATGAAACAGTTCAATAAGTCTGAAATGCTTCAAGAGGAACAAATTAATGTATAAAAATTCCAGCCTCAATCATACCCAAGTCACCAAGTCAAAACAAAATCAATGCACACCCCAGCTCAATAAATTTATTAAAAAAAATTCATAAAATGCATTATGACATGAAACTAGCTGTTGTTTGTACGTATCAGTTGCAATTTTTATGGAAAAAGGAAAGCAATTTTAATAAATCGATGAAGGTTGGAAAGAAAAAAAGAAAAATGAAATTTATGAATTGCCAAATGAAAAAAAAAATATTGGATATAATGTGATGTAAATTGCACAAGTTAAAAATAATTTGAAAGGGTGAAATTTTATACATAAATGTAGTGGCATCATGCTCTGCAGTATTATGTACAATATGTAACATAAGAAGCAGATGGAACATTCTGTAACAGTTAATAAAAATTAATCAATTTTTGTCGGAGCTTGCTTTCAAATGAAAATGATGGCGTAGGTCAAGAATATTTTTCTTCTCACTCTTTCTCATTCCTTCTCTGTCTCACGCCTTTTGTGTCTGTTGTAGACGAGATGAATAAAAAGAAAATGAGTAAATATTGTGCGTGTGATTGGTAATAGAAAGGAATAAGAAAACCAGAAAAAGTAAAACTTTTTTTTTTCATGTGCTTTTTACAGATGGAGAAAGTAGTGATGAGGGTAGTTATCGAGAGAACTCAAACTCAAGTCCACCATTGCCAAAAGATGATCACATGAGACCGCTTAATTTGGTAAGTCAATTATCTGCTAATTATTAACAAAAACAATATTAAGACAATTGTCATCCACAGATTACCGACACACGGCAATCACCATCACCATCACTTCAGAATAATGCAGCTAATCAAATGAATATGGCATTGGCTGCACTTCAGTCTCAATTACCACTAGCTCCATTATTTCTTCAGAATCAATTGGGAATGAGTGCATTGACTGGACATCCCCAAGGTGAAATGAATTCTTTACATCAAGCTTTACAAGCACAATTTCAACAGCAATTGCAAAACTACATGCTATTACAAGCAAGTGCAAATCATAGTGGATCACCAGCTCAAGCAGCAGCTGCACAACTTCTTTTACAAAGTCAAGTTCAACAAGCAATGGCACAAGCTGCACAGCAATTGCAGGCTTTGCAAAAGCAACAACAAAATAATTTAAAGAGAACTCATGCCCAAACTGAATCAACAACGACGATGACTATGACGAGAAGTCCATTACATACACCAGAAAGTCCATTATTGGGAAGTAATCGAACAACACCGCCTAATTCGATGACAGCGCAATTATCAGCAAGTGGTGGAATTTTAACGCCAGCAACACCAAATTCAGGTACACATCCGCCACAAAAGACAATGACAACTGCTGCACGAACGATGGAGCCACACGAGGAAACGACAGATTTGGAAGAGCTAGAACAATTTTCGAAAACTTTTAAGCAACGTAGAATAAAGCTTGGATTTACACAAGGTGATGTTGGCCTTGCGATGGGCAAACTATACGGAAATGATTTTTCACAAACAACCATATCAAGATTTGAGGCTCTAAACTTGAGCTTCAAGAACATGTGCAAACTGAAACCACTTCTTCAAAAATGGCTTGAAGATGCTGATCGTAGCTTAAATAATCCTGGAGGGTAAGTTGAAGTTTATTGAACTTATTATATTGTTACCTTTTTAATCCTTAATTCTGATGAAGTCTTAGCAAAATTAAAAACAGTTATTAATAATTTTTAATCCACACAGAATGTTCGGACCAAGTACATTGAGTAGTCCATTATCAACACCTGAGAACATGGGACGACGTAGAAAGAAGCGTACATCAATTGAAACATCCGTACGAACGGCACTGGAGAAGGCATTTTTTATTAATTCAAAGCCAACAAGTCAAGAAATAGCTAATCTGGCCGATAATTTGTGCATTGAGAAGGAAGTCGTAAGAGTCTGGTTCTGCAATCGTCGACAAAAGGAGAAACGTACACATCCTGGCATGAATCCAGAAAGTCCCGATGATTCAATGGGCAATGGTTCTAGTATGTTTGAACTAGCTTCACATTACTCATCATCAATGAAGCAAGAATGACCAGCTCGTCGAAATTCCGTTGCATAAATCTCGACTTCATGCACACATAAAGCTATTCTTTCTCATAATTCTTTGTAATATATAGCCTGACAACAATAATAAGAAGAAGAATAAGAAGAATAATAGGAGTTAAAAAAATTATAAGCAACATTCCAGAATCGCCGCAATGTCATCAATTCCCATGACTGTGATAACGACAGATTTCCAAGAGGTACAGTGGTAAATAATTTGAAAAAGATAAATGATATGAAAATAATAATAAATAATTAAAATTAATTAAAGTTAATACTTAAATGAAAAAAAAAATTATGATTGTAAAGAAAAAAATGAAATTCTTGAAAAGCATTTTATAATACACAAGATGACTATTTTAATGACTAAAAAATATTTCACGAAAGTAAGAAGATAAAAAAAAAACATTGTACTTTTAAGGTGATTAGAGCAAATTTTAGAGAAAATGAAAAATAAATAAAAGAAATCGTGCTAAGTGTTTTTGTCCAAAGATTAAGTGTCTTTATTCTTCACTTATTTAATTGATATTGAATTTACAGCAACAACATCGACTTTTAGTCGTGAACTAGGTCAGTTGAAGTTTAATTCCAGGGGAGGCAAACAACGATATTGTCGTTAAGTTCAAAAACTTTGAATCAACACTAACACTATCATACATTTTCCAAAAAAAACATTGAATTCATTTTTTAAAAAATCAACTTAATAACATTTAAGTTCCTGTTTAAACTAAAGGCCTGTTTCACTAAAGTGGATTATCCTTGATTTCGGATTATCCACTTCAGTTTTTTGGAAATATCTCCAGACGCTTAAGTTTATTAAGAGATTTAATGTGTGATCTAGTTAGAGTACTTTGCTACTTAAATTAACATAAACTCAGAATTTTTATATCATCATTAGTTTGAGAATTATAGCACAAAATCGAAGTTAATCTACTAGATTTGGCTAGAAAATTGAATAATTAATACTTCATAACGAAAAGCAAAAGTTTAAAGTATACAGAAATTTCAGGCATGCATCACTTTATTATATTCCAAGATTAGAAATACCACACCTACCATAAAGTTTAAGATATTTACAAAAAACTGAAGTGGATAATCCGAAATCAAGGAATCTTTGATTAGAACATGATTAACAGCTTAATTAAGCTTTAATTATTACAATTTATTGCTCTGGACACAGTTTAGGCTTTTAATTCATTGATAAAATGTGAATTTTCAAAGAAAAAAAATACAATTCAAAAGCGTGCGTTTAGAAATTCAAATTTTTGAAAATTTGCGGGAAAATAAGTTGCTTTTTGATTTCTGAACACAAAAACAAGGACCGTCAGCTAAGTTTTATCCTTTTTAAATTAGAATGATCTATGCATTCATTTAAGCTACTGTCTATGAATCATTCTGGTTTGAAAAGTATAAAACTTGGTTCTTATTTTTGTGTTCAAAAATCAAAAAGTAACTTATATTTCCGTTAAATTTCATAAATTTGAATTTCTAAACGCACGCTAAAATCGAGCAAAATCCTACGTCCGACTTGTGCTATTCGGGAATGCTTACTGACCACCTTGTCTATCCGAACAATGTTTTAGATTTTACATACAGCTGCTAAGTTTCCCAACAAAAAAAAATATAAACTCTAATAGCTCTAGATCTCCATTATGACTAACCTATTTCAGTTCCAAAAAGAAAGAACATTCCTCATGATGTAGAAGATAATAATATGAAAATCAGTATGAAGCTAATTTCGAATTCAAAAATCATATTTTATTCAAATTGAGTTGTGAAAAATCACAGAACCATAAAATTCATCTTTTGCTCCTTTTTTACGTCTTCAATAATATACATACAGTAACCGTAGTCAGACGAACCTGAATATTGGGATTCTGTTTTGCATGAATAAATATTCACATCGTAAAAATGAGAAAATTTCTTCTTTAATATTTTTTTTTGTGTCCGAATCGATTTTCCTCGTTCTTCCTTAAAAATGAGAACAGAATGAAGAGAACATGCAAATCATCATGAATATTTAACAAACATTTTCCTCTCTTCTCCTCTCCTTTATGTTGGTCAGCCATTTTGAATTTCCATATAAATGACACACTCGATGCTACACATCTAGTTAACATTCATCAATACTGGCATCATCAAGTATGTAGATAAAATCAAATGTGAATATTTAAATCAACTAGATGTGTGCAAAGGAGGGAATCCCTTCTTCATTGTTCAAACATTTACATACCCAATTTGAATGAGAATTGTCGATGATGACGAAATGGATAAAAAAAAAGGGATATAACAAGTCGTTTGAAAGAGTTAATAAAAAAATCATCTTACAGCAAGGAAAGATCCCCTTGAGAATGTTAAAGATAACCCCTTGTTTTTTATATGTTTTGTGTATGTATGCGCTATAATTATGTAATTCTTCATCAATTTCAACCCCTTCGATATGCTTCCTTCATTGCTTGCCTTTTTTTTATTATGATGAATGCGGTTAAAAAATGAACTGTTGAATTATGGGGTCGATTTACATAAAATTAAATGCCTTTTTATTAACAATTTGATTGAGTTCCTTCCTCTATTTGACATGGAAATTTATACTATAAGTGTTATGTTTTCCTGCATGAAGGGTGAATTGTCACATCATTTGTTTGTTCCTTTAACAGGTATGTCATTATAATATGCAATTGATGACAATCATATAAATGATTTTTTTGACTTTATCACGAAACTGCAACAGGTTTATGCTTAATTTAAACATTTATCACTCTACATTAACATTTATAATTGAAGGAAAGGGGTTTTATATTTTTTTGGAACTGAATGAGCATTTAAAAGCACATTTTTAATATCATTTTCAATTTTAAATTTCATATTCAAGTGAAACTCATTAAAGCGTTGAGGAGAAATAAACACTCAGTGTCAAAACGGCCAAAAAAAAATGTTATTTTAACATAAATTATACAAAAATATGTATTATGGACTCATATTCATGAGAATGACTGGGAAATAAATTTAAAAAAAAACTCAAAAAATGTAAAATGATGAAGAAAGCCGTCAATGAAATAATTACATGATACAAATACATTCTTCTCTTCTTTTTATTGCTCGTAATTACTTATTCTGAATTTAAAGATGTTTTAAATTTTAAATTTCTTTCCAAAGTCCATCAACAATGCAAATTTTTCCTCAGAATTGATTTTATTAAAAAAAAAAAATTCTCTTATGTAAGTTCCTTGTAATTTTGTGTATTCCTTCTCTTTCTCTTCTTGGTTCTGTGGTGGGAAAGCAAATTTCATAAGAAATTGTGACTTAAAATAGTTTCAATTTGGAATTGTTTTGATATTAAGTAACTGAACTTTACTGCGATTTAAACAATATTAAGGAGCTATAAGCTTTCCTAGGAAGAATAGCTGGTTATTGACTTGTTACTCACATTGTAGAACGTTGATTAAATCTCCCTTTAAGTTTCATCCTAAACAGACAAAAACATGCTCTTTGCATACACAATTTTAAAAGTAAAGCAGTCTAGAACCTTTTTGAATACAAATTGTATGCAATAATCACTTTAAAGTGAATAAACAAGCCAAATATCACTGATAATAATAAATTAAAACTGAAAGTATCAAAACACGAGAACCCAAATCTGTATTTATCGCTTTTGTTGTTTTATTACTACGTTTTTCTTAACTTGCTTTCTTATCTGTTTATCTGTTTATCTGTTTGTCGAGGGCAAATCTTGTAATCGATTTTTCGACCACTTCTACTGCTCCAATCGAGCTAAAATTTTTAATGCACACGTATTTTTTAATTGCACTTTATTGCATTTATTGACGACATACTGTCCGGTAATAATTCACATTTTACACTTTTGTATTTGTATACATATGAATTAGTATTATGTAGGATCAAACTTCTAAAATTCATATCTAGGTTTCAAATAAACTAATGCTCTCGTTTCGATCTTCTGTAGGCGTGACGTGATACTTTTCAGGTCCGTTCTAACAATATTCCATTCGTGGGTAATCTTGTAGCTCTCGTTCCTATTTCTTCCCCGCTACACTTCAAGTTCCTGACCCGTTCCTTAATCCAACGTTGCCCAAATGCCCAATTATGGCTTGATCTCGTACATTAAGCAGTCGAAGTATCTAAACTTCCGAAAAAGAACAAATTTGGAAATGGCTGGATTCGAACCGACGACCTTCGAGTTACCATCCCAAATTTGAGCCAAGCACCTTACCTATTCGACCAGCAAGGCACTTAACTGCTTCAATGAATAAATTCTTAACTTTTTGCCAGAACTTGAACTTTATCTAGTTCTACGGAATTCAAGCTTCAAAATAAAGCCTAAAAAGATACACTAGAAGCTTAATATACTTTATAAGTTAATTGATGAATCAAAATCTGATCTTTTTTTAAGTTTCTTTGAATTAATGTAAGAAGTCTTTGTTCTTCTTTATGTCCGTCTGTCCTTTTTATCCTTGGCTATAAAAGAAAACTTAATCAGAATTATAAAAGGCTTTTGTGAGTTTCGCTACTAGAGTAAGCTACTCTTAATACATTAGCTAAATGCATAGCTAGTTTAATTGATGCTCAAAAGACAAAGCAATGTTAGCATACAGTGAATTTGGCATTAAATTAGCATGTTAACTGCATTAAAGGGTTAGATCCTATATGATAATTTCAGCATCCATCATTTACTGTGTTCTTTATTTTTACTTACCTTAAGATTAAAAAATGAAGTCTGCTGTGTAAAATCTTGAATCCTCAAGAATATTCGAGATTCCAAAAAGTAATCAGCTGTATGCCTTACAACAATTATTCGTACACCACATAACTTCTGTTAATGACATAAAATTAATAGACAAAATGAACTTCAGAGTCTGAAAAAAGGAAATTCCATTCAAAAATGTGACCAATAGTACGTGATGCACGTAAGTAGTCTGCACTTTTATAAAATTGTTTGATGATTAACAAAGATATATTTGAAGACATGAGGGTTGGTAATGTCTGAGAGGAGAGTAAAAATCGAAAATCATTGGTAAAAAGGGGTTTTTTAAAGTCATAATGCTTCACAAATTAAGGAAGTGTGCTAAAAAGGACTCGTGTCTGATTGAAGATTTTTGCAGATGTAAGAAAAGGTAAGTTTTTAATGAAAAAAAAGAGGAAGATGTTTACTGTCTGTTTCATGTTCAAATGAAGGAATTGTAAAGAGTGTCATATTATTATTGCAAAGAGGGCAGGAAGCATTAATTTTCCTGACATCAAGTTGAACAGTAAATGGACATCGTCATCAGTCATCATTTTTTTTCTTCTTTCGTACGTTATAAATAAGAAATGTTCTATGGAATGAATATTTATTCATGTTGATTACCTTATCCATTTACGATGTGCATCATCAAATACAATTTTATTTGCTCTCATTTCACATCCATTTCTTCATGTTCCTTATTCTTCAGACTCAATTCACATTTTTTTATAGTTTCTATTTCTCTCTGGAAAATGAATAAATAGTAGATGGATGGAATGTGAACAAAAGGAGGGTGCATTCTTAGCAACATAAAACTTCAATTGAAGAATATATTGCCATATATGCATATACATGCGATATCTTATGAAACTATATAATGTGTAGGTGGTAGTAGCGTATGAATCATGTGGTATGGGGTTGATTTTATTGCAAACATAGTCAATGGATTTACATTTGCAAGGAAAGTAGTGAATGGAAAGTTTCCAGATTGATTCTAATTATGAACTTCCATGTGATTGTTTTTGAGGTTATTTATATAAATTATCTGAGATTCAGGATGCTGTGTCTAGTTTTTTTGAAATTTCCTAGTTCCAGCATAACTAAAAGCCTCAAAACAACCTAGCTGTGCTATAATTTCGTAAAAGATATGTCATTTTTGGATGATCCCTAAACAATTTTTTAAAAAAATCCACACGGAAGTCAAAGTAAAGTTCAATTTAATGCCACAAAATGAATATACAGAGAACTGGACAGTTCACCCGTAATATAAATAATATTGAATTTCAAGAGCATACCATTAGAGCGCAAAAGACACATCAGCATGGCAAAAAAGGACGTTTGCAAAAGCCAAAAGAAGAAGAGAAAAAAAAATTTATTTATTGATCTCGTAAAAAAGTGTACGGATGCTGTTTAGAAAAATTTATTTTCCTCTTGAGACTAACGAATGTAGATGGACTTTTACTTCAGGTTGATTTAGCAACGAGCAGCAAAAAAAAATTGTGTGTTTGAGGATGAATGTTAAAGTCAGGGGACAAAAGATGAGAAAAAGGGACATTATTTGGTATTATTTGCATATGAAATTTTGTGTTCAATTTCCTTTTAGGATCGAGATAATGCAGAAAAGATCCAGGTTGTATTACTGGATAAGACACGAAGATGTAAGCTCACCTACTCATTCCTATAATATCCATATCTCAGATATTTATGGCCTCTTTTTTCTCTCGTTTCCATTTTTCCCTTATATCAACAACATTATTTCGAAATTGCATGTGAATGGTCAATGAAAATGCCCTCGATGTCGTAAATTTTATGAAAAACCAATATCAGATAATCATGAAATATATGGAAATAATTTATGATGATTCATCATGTAAATTACTCGTAAAACCATCGCTGATGAATGGTTACAGGCTTTTAAAAATTTCTCGTTTAATTCTGGAAGTGTTTTAAGAGTGGATATAGCGCATAATTGAGCATGATAAGTTCTTGAAAATAAATTTAAAAATGCTCTCATTAATTAAGATAGTTTATAATTAAATTATGGGATATTCAGCTTGAAAGCAGCCTGCAAATAGGGGGAGAACAGCTGTGAATGGAATTGGAATCGACATCATTATCAAAACTCTTTATTTTTGCGTTCGGAAATCAAAAAGTAGTTTATTTTACCGTTAAATTCAAAATTTGAATTTCTGAACGCACTCAACAAAGATATGGTTTTAAAAATTCACATTTTTTCAATGAATTAGTAGTCTTAAGTGCCTACAGAGTGGAAAATCATAATGATTAAAGCTTAATCAAGCTGTCAAAGAATTAGTTGTAATCAAGTTAATTTTTGTAAAATAAATTCAATGTTTATTTCTTCGAAAATGTTTGATAGTGTTGGTGCTTGTTTAAATGTTTTCAAATTTAACGATAAGATTGTGGTTCGCCATAGATGAATGCAGTCAAAACTTTAAAAAGTTCCACAAAGCTACGTTTCCCCTGCTTGTGCATCACGAACCTAATAAATTTCATTCTTTATGTCCAATTAAAATTGTAGCCTACAGCCTTTTCATGTAATTTTATTCAAATTTAACAGTTTCTGACATCATCGTGTCAAAAATTACGCAGCACTTAATTACTAAAAGTGAATTTTATTGCAAAATTATTGAAAACCGATGAAATCTCATAAATTTTTATGAAACTTAAAATTAAAATATAATTTCTTAATTACACAGTCAACGAATTTTCTAGAACATCTTTATTGTACGTTATGTGGATAAAAAAAGTGCGAGGTTTATAGATTTAACACTCACAATGACTGAAATTGAAACTATAAAAATATAAAAAGAAAAGAAAAATATTTCAATAAAAGGTTGAATAATAAATTAAGGGATACAGATGTTTATACACTTTTATCTCATATGCACACACATACCGAGGGTGTAAATTCCTTTTTGTTCCTGACAAAACACAAAAAAAAGTAGAAGAGATTTTTATATTCACAAATACACATAATTTCACACACATAAAGGAGTGCATGCTTGACCCTCGGTCACACAAATTTCACACCACATCGAATATCTCATTGCAATTTATTTATCATGTCGTGTGCCATATTCTTCATAATATGGAATGAAATAAAATAATAATAATATCAGATGGACGCCCGATAATAAACTGCATTTTAATTTGAAAAGAGAATGGTAGCAGCAGCAGGGGTTGTTTAAAATAAAAATATATATAAATTAAGAGCACACAATTGAGCTGAAAATTTTAATTTATGAGTATGAAAGGTGTTGGAAGCATTTCAATGCCACTTCTCCTTCTTTTTTTCCTATCTAAATGATTCTCTTTCATTAAATCAAAACTCTTCTTTGTTTAATTTGACAAATGGTAATTTTCAGTTACGAGAGACATTCACAAATGACGTAAATATCATAGTTTATATTTTTGGAGCCGCCTACACAATACAAATTGAGTGTCACTTAGCTAACGTCATCTTTAAATGATTCAGTGACGTATGGAAAGAGTCAACCTAGAATTGGTCTGTAAACCTTTTACCAGAGCTCGAAGTCGATAAGGTAAAAGTTGACTCTAGTTGACTAGATTCGACTCAAAATCTAGTTGACTCAACTTTTCTCAAGTCAACTCCCTCAATGACTAAGTTCGTTTGTGAATGACAGCTTTTAAATAATTCAATTTTGTGGATGAAATTCTAAACATAAATTTTAAATTTATTGTAACGGTTTTTTTTGGGTTAAAGTGAATTACCCCTCTCAGTTTCAATCAAATTCAAATTTGTCTATGCAAAAATTATATTTGTGAGATGTTGTTGAACGACCAGTAAGGTCTATAATAAAGAAATGAAACATGTATATGATGCTATGAAGTTGACCTGCATGTATTTATTCATTCATTCATAATCTAGAAGAAAAATAAAATAGTCATCTCATCCAACTCTAGATTTTTAAAATTATCATCCCAGTCAACTTTGAATTTCACAAAATTCATTCATTTTTCAAAATTCATTCAAATGACAAAGTTTTTCGAAAAAATTTTCAAAAATTCAGCCAAAATGGATAAGAAAGGAACATCCACAAGCAATACACATGGAACAGCAACTTCAGCATTATCATTGAGCAATGTTAAATCTCAAAATTCATTTTTCGTTTTTGGAAATGTTTATGTGACAAATCAAAGTGAAAATTTCAATAGCAAGAAGGTTGAAGATCCACCTGTTAAGAATGAAGTGGCAACAAACTTAAATAATATAAACTTGGAACTTAACTTTCTTAATGATGAGATAAAGAATAATCACTCGATGCTGCTTGAATTGAAAAAGGTTCTGGAAAAGAGAGAAAAACGAAAGGAAAGACGTGCAAAAGCTGAAAATGATAGAGTTGCTGCTAATGTTGCTACCGATAGTGTTGACTTTTTTCATCCAAACGTTTTTCAGCCAAGAGTTCAAGAAATTAAAAGTCGATTGGAAATGTTAAATAAATAAATTGAAATCAAAATTGAAGGATCGGAAGTCTAAATAGAATAAAATTCCAAGGACTATGGATAGTTGATGAAAATTCGATCTCAAATTTTCATCAACTTTTTTTGTCAGAAAATTTTTGCGGCAAAATTTTGAAATTTTTATTCACGTTAGGGTAAAACATGCTGAAATTTGTTAATGGGCTCTAATTTGCTAATGGGCTCTAAAGATCAATAATTGTGGGAATTTTCAGTTAATAATGTGATTTGAAGGATATGCTGCTTATGGGAAGAGATTGTTGACATTTTCGATCAAATTTAAACATTTAAACAGTTTATTTATATATTTTTGGAACAGAAATTGATATTATTGCTGAAGGAACTACTTTGAATAAACTTTAAATGAAATTAAGAACATAAAGCTGATTTGTTTCAAACCTTTTCCTCAAGAAATAATGAAAGATTCAAGATTTAACTCAGTTTGAGCTGGGTGAGTTTAGAACCGTCAAAGGAACACCCATTAAATCAGCAATTCCTCCATTTTTCTTTGTAAATTTTATGCAGCATAGAGTTTTAACAATAACAAGATAAGAATTAGGAAATCAAAATGTTTTTATTTAAAGATCTGAAATTAAACACTAAACAGGATATACTTTTTGAATGTATGGATATTCTTGAAGTCTTTTGCATTTTTTTATTTTTATCTAAAATTTTAAATGATCCATGTTTTTCATTTTTATCAGCTGTTATCAGTTTTTGACTTTCAGTAGTTCCATTTATGCTATTCTTCGTAAAATCTTATAAAAACATGAATTTCATACGTAAATAATATTTGTTGTTGACAAAAATTCCCATCGCTTTCAACGACAAAAAGCGCACAAATTTCAAAAATTGTAAAAAAATTTCGCACAAATTGTAACATTTACAATCAAGAAATTTTAAAATCTATTTTTAAAGCAATTCCAATGATTTTTATAACTTGAATTTCTTTTGAAAAAGTAAAGCAATTATCAAATTTTATATTAAAACTGTGAAGCAGCACTGGTTATGTCCAAATATTTATAAATATAAAAATCACAATTTTGTATGGGATTTTAAATTTTTCAAATTTAAAGCTGCTCCAAGCTTCGAGACTGTTCAAAATGATGTAGAAATGTTTGTACAACCGTTTTACACAGAGCTGCAAACAAAATTTTTGTTTAAATGGCTTTTTTGGGCTGATTTCTTTTTTATGTGAGCGCAACAACCAAGTTTGTTTACAATTTATGAGTAAATTTTTCAATTGAAATTTTTTCATCTATTTGAAGCATAATTTAAGCTATGACAGTTGCAAATCGTTTAATATCACTGAATAATTACAGTAACATGCTTAAACAGAACCAAATATGACTTAAAATAGGAAATTTTGAGAATTTATGAAAACATTCATTTTCGAACTTTCGTAAACAACATCGAAAAAAAATACGGGAAAATTCAAAATATTTATAGTTTAACTGACAGTGCTATCCATAGTCCTTGGAATAAAATTGAAATTGTTTAGCCTCAAATAAAATTTTGTCATTCCTGTTTTGCATTTGATTCCATATTTCAGATGTTTTTCTTCATTTTCTTTGAACTTTAATCTCAATTTGCTGTGGAAAATAGTTTTATTCATTCTACAAATTTTCTCGAAGTCAAAAGACATTACATTTACAAATACTCAGTAATAATGGACAACTCACGTCAAAACCCAACACCAACTAGCAACACAATCGAAGCTGCATTAGCTGCATTATTATCAAATGAAAACCAATCTCAAAATTCATATTTTGTTTTTGGAAACCTTTATGTAAATAATCAAGGTGAAAAATCTGAAGACAAAGAAGCAAAGGAATCAGTGCCTGAGATTGAATTGTCAAAAATTTTCAACGATTTGAATTTAGAGCTGAACAATCTTGCAAAAGAAATGACATTAATGAAAAATGAACTGAAGGCTGTTCTCGAAATTAAAGGAAAGCTAAAGGACGATGAAAATGACTCTGTTTTCGTATTTGGCAGAAGCAATGAAGACAATGGATTTAAATTCATGTTGAAACCAATCCCAATGTGATTCCTCAACAAACTCTCACGAGCAATCGAAGACTTAAAAAATTATTTGTGCATCAAAAACTGAGATTGAAATACTTTCAAATCCAATCCAAGCATTTGTCTTCATTATTTAAAATCATATAGACAATCCAATAGACTGAATGGAAATTTATTTACATGCTAAACTTTATGTTCGAATTAAACCACAATAAAATGTCTTATTTAATAAAAGTTTTCAATTGTTTACCAGAAAATTCCTATTTAGGAACGAATTGACTTGTAATTGGATGATTCTTAGCAGTTTTGTCGTAAGTCAGTTGATGACATTGAATGAACTACAGCCAATTTATGGTCTAAATTAAGTATGAAAAAGTGTATATTGGTGGAAAAGCCTTTATTTCAGCTATACGATTCCACCATTTTTGGAATTTTTGAATGGTTCTATCGGTTTTGTATCGGTTCAAAGTCAATGTAAAATGAACTGCTAATAACTTTTTATCAGAATGGTAGAAATTAAAAATTCTTTTTGGTATTAAGAGCCTGTAAAAATCAACAGAGCTTTTAAGGGTTTTCACTTTTTTCCCATGAGTGTTATATCATTTTTGAAGGACCCAAACTTCAAAATTCAAACGCTAATAACTCAAGAACTATAAAAGATATGAATATAAAACTTTTGCTGATTGATTCATTTTTTTATGTAGTTTAATTAACAGGAACTGAATTTGGGGTCGCTTCATAAATATTGTCTCAACAGTCAAAACATTAAATTTTATGAATTTCTTTCATTTTTTTCTATTATAATTTGAAACTTTAAAACAAATCTTTTAATGCGATCATAATCAACATTAAAATACCTTTATAACGATGTATCACATGTTTGGAGTATATACAAAAATTAGGTCAAAAAATAACCTTTGAGTTACTATGGGTCCTCGATTTGAGTAGATTCGATTTGAATAGGATTCCAAACACCTACTCAAATCGAGGACCCCCAGTATTTTATATCAGTCCATTAAAATTATCATTGTTTACAATTTATTTGTTTGAAAATTTGATTAGCCAAGACACACACCACTAGACTAGTACGTCAAAATTTCTATAATTTGAATTTATTTTAACCGTTAATGTTTTAAATGAATATATCTCGTTAGTTTTAAGTTCTTAAACGATAAATCTATAACAGGCCTTAGCTCTAAGACCACAGCTGGATGTGTCCCAGCATATCAAGTTGCTATGAAAGAAGGTGATTCTAACATTAGTATCAAACTTAAGGATCGCTAAACAATTCAATTCTGTCATTATTGAGTATGATAGTTTAGGAACAACAATAACATTTGGAACTTGAAACAAAACAAGAACCTTGAAGGTCCCGAATATTTATTCAGTAAGCTGACAATGTATCCAATCATATTCCCACACAGAAATTTATAAATTCGATTAAATTTCTTCGAATCCGCAACTTACGATTCCGCTCCTATTTATCATAGAAATGTTCCACAAATATTTCATCCTAAAAAGCAATAAGCAAAAGAAAACAAAAGGCCGACATAAAAACGTTTTAAATGTAAATCATCGGCTACCACCTTTTGATATTTAAATTCTTTAATTTCCAACTCCAACAAGATGAGTGAATTCCCTCAACTTTCCTTTTTGTTTTATTGACGGTAAGATGAATAAAATATTGGCGATGAACAGCAACAGAGAAAAAAAGCATCACAAGCAGGGAGAGATAAAAGAAGGTAGCATAGAAAAAAGAAAACAATAAGGATGAATGAATTGAATGAAGAAGAACATTCGTCGCATGAATAAAACAATTTTTTTATGTCGCACATACACACACTGACATGGATGTGAAGATAGATTTCGCAAAAAAAAATTATTGAGCCAAAATGTATGTTATGTTGATGATAAGATGAAAGGCAAGGCTACCAGAAATTGTTTTTCTTCTCCTTTCTTATTATTTCACTTGAGTGACCTTTAATAACAGTTTTTATTTAAATTCACAATAAATCGATGAAATTGCCTTTTTTGCTGCTCTTCCTCTTTTCAGCTTCATTGAATGTCGGGTTTTCCTCTCATACATGCGGTTAAATATGTTGAATATTAGCAACAGCATAAGCATCTTCATTCCTTTCTTCTTATTTTATTTTATTATTCTCTTGAATTTCCATTGGGAGGTCAAGCGCGCGTGTGTTTGCGTATGATGATTATGAGATCGTATTGAAATCGAGTGAAAGGTAATAATCGAAAAAATTTCAAATTCATCTGCCTTTTTTCAATTTTCTTTTTAAATGAGAACAGGAATATAAAATTGTGGAGGAAATTGGGAATGTACGTAAGCTATGTCTACGGTTTAATTTTTTTTCCATCATAGTGAATGGGCGATTCTCCAGCGGGGAAATCAGCCAAAAGTCACTTTCAAATTGATTTTTCTTTAAATTTTCCCAATAAAGCATGTTTGTTCTTAATTAAAACAGATGTATTTTTCCAAATTCTATCTCTTAAAGTCATTTAGAAATCATAATTAAGCTTAAATCATTAGTTTTTTCAATTTTTTTAAGCGTTGCTCGGCAACCAAAAATGGAATTCAATTACGAAGAATCAAAAAATTACTATCAAAGAATTATTTTTATTGCACTTAATACATACTAAATGGTAGATCGTCTTTAGTTTTATCATATTTAAATAACACATCTTTGATTTAATGCTTTAATTAAGAGAAAAATCGATTCTTCGAACAAAATTTAATGTTGCCGAGCAACGCAAACGCTTTATAGGGGAAAATCTGCTCAACGAAAAATTTAAAATTTGATAAAAACCGTTAGATTTTAAAACTTTCAGTAGTTTATTTGGCACAAAAATGTTAATGATCTAAACTATATCTTATAATAATCATTAAAATGCATATAAACTAAATTTTCAACCTACAATTGACCACAGAACCAGAAAAATCGTTTGAAACAGATATTTTTTAACGGTTTTCTCAAATTTGAAGTGTCAAGTAAAAGAAGAATTACAATTCACTTTTGAAAAATTCAATTCTTCTGGAGAATCGCCCGAATATAAGTCTCAGTTCTAGTAGAGCTTAACATTTAGGAACAAAGGGTATGACAACGTTTGATTATGATTCCGGGTGCCAATAGCTATGCAATTTATTAACCAACGCACTAGCTATAGCAGACTACATCTTCAACTAAGTCAAGGAGTTTAAGGTCAATAAATCAAAATTTCCAAGATGAAAAGGAGCAAAATGAGTCTTATTAGACGCTTTGATGGGAAACGAACCCAGTCTTTACAAAAGAAAAGATTATCGAATTTTGGTCTGCTTTCAATAATGTCGTGAGTTGTAACGAATTGATGTTACATTTCTCCAACAAAAAGTCGTTAAGAAATTATTTGAACGATTTAACGAGCTTTTAAGATTTATATATTTATTCCAGTTGCAAACCCCTCTCAACTAGATTTTGATAAGTCCACAAATTTGACATTTTAAGACGTGGAAACAGTACAAATATTTTAAAATCTCTAAAATAATTTAATTAAGCGAAATCCTTGTCATATCGACAAAGCTCTATGTAATGGTTCAGAGAACAGTCTCTGGTTTGAATTGAACTCACATCCTCACAAATCAGTTTTACAGATATCCACTCGCGTCACAGAGATCTAGTTCTCGCACTGGCAGATTTGCTTTTATAAGGGTCGAAACCCTAGATTCCTTTTTGCTCGGACACAATACTGTCTAACCCTTCAATTGCAATAGTTCTTCCTTACATACTTAAATTCGTTTAAAAATGGTTCAATGCTCTTAATTTTACGATTTTGATATGAAAATATGTTGCCACTTTATTACATCTAGTAAGTCCATCCATTATGAACACCTCATTGTCACATGTCCCATAGCTGGCCAATGTTTGATAACGATACGATACATATTTGTTTATTTATGAAAATTTCCAAATAAACGAGGAGATAAAATTATACTGAAAGCATTTTCATTTTCTTAGTCCAGCATATATGTAAGAATATAACCCTTAGGTTCAAAAAAAAAATTTTATTGACCATCTCATTTAAAAGGCAGAAGCAGAAGTATTTTATTGAACTCATTTTATGGAAGCAGAATAAAGGAGTATGTACATATGTAAAAAGGAGAGGACTCTTGAATTTAAATGAAACATTAAAATATTGATGATTATTGGAATGTAAAATTGATATTAAACGTCAACAGCACACACATCCACACAGATGCTCTTTGTGGTTTAATATTCAATTCCATATATTACGATGCCCAAGGAAATTAAACTCATTTGCTTGTAATGATTCAATTTATTTTTTATACATTAATATATTCCCTTTACTTCCTTTTTGGGACAATCCAATACTTACAAACCAAAAAGAACTCAGATGAATCGACACAAATAAGACTGTCCAAAAATGCGTTATGTCCACAAATCAGATTCTTCGTCTATGTCTGCAATTGAAATGGTGCATGCATGTGAGAGGGTTTCAATATTTGATGTTTGCGCTTTGTTTAGCCCTAAGGAACAATACACAGTAATTTTAATAACACTGGTTGTATCTTGAAGATTATTATGCAACATGAAATTTCATGAATTGCATAACAATTTTTCTGTTTTGCCACATGTCTTATTATATTTTTGATGTCTTTATTTTTTTGAGAATATTTTTTGATGGATTTTGGATGGGAGGCATACAAGTTATTGTGGCAAGAAAAAAAAAATTAAAGCTGGGTTGCGATACAGGCAACCGTACAATTCCTCAATAATTTGCGAGGTTTTATTAGAATTTGTATGGTTTTGTTAGAAAAACCTTATAAATTATCAAGGAAATGTGCGGTTCTCACCTGTGCACATGTGCATATATCGCAACCCTGCTTTAGAGTTTTGTCCGAATAAAATATGTTGATCCTTTTCTAGATCACGTGGTAGAATTAACTGCAGAACATCGCAAAGACTTGTGCGTGCTCTGATAGTGCAGTTTTGAAATTTTACGAGGGATAAAAAGCCACACTTGGGCAATTCTCCAGATAAGTTTTTCAAAAAATCATCCGGAGAATTGATTTTTCTCGAAAATTTTCCATTACCAAGCATTAGTTTTACATTTAAATCGATGTAACATGGCAAAAACTATTATATT